ACCCCTATGATAGTTAGCCCACGGACTACAGCCACCTCGCCCGGACCAGGGAAACCGGGGCACCCTCCCGGAGCCAGACCCAGGAGGGGAGCTCGTAGGCGAGCGTCTGGTGGCCGGGCCTTTGCCCATGGGGCCCGGTCGGGCTCAGCCCGAATAAACACCATGGAGCAGCCACCCTGTGGACCCACCACCCGCAGGGACAAGCATCGGGGTCGGGTGCTATGCAGACCGGGCGGCGGGTCGGGCGGGAGGCCCGGGCATGCCGATCGCCGGCGGCATAGACTAGCTCTAGGGACGTGGAACGTCACCTCGCCAGCGGGGAAAGAGCCGGAGCTGGTGCAGGAGGTGGAGCGATACCAGCTAGAAATAGTTGGACTCACCTCCACACACAGCGCTGGCTCTGGAACCAAGCTCCTGGAGAGGGGTTGGACTTTGTCCTTTTCCGGAGTTGCCCAGGGTGAGAGGCGCCAGGCGGGAGTGGGGATACTCACGAGCCCCCGGCTGAGCGCCGCTGTGTTGGAGTTTTCCCCGGAGAGCGAGAGGGTCGCCTCCATGCGCCTACGGGTTGCGGGGAGCACCAAACAGCAGTTTGAAGTATCCGGCCTTCTTGGAGTCGGTGGGAGGGTTCCTGGAAAGGGCGCCGCCTACCGACTCCATAGTTCTCCTGGGGGACTTCAACGCTCACGTGGGCAATGGCGGAGAAACCTGGCGGGGGGTGATTGGGAGGAACGGCTTGCCCAATCTGAACCCGAATGGTGTTTCGTTATTGGACTTCTGTGCTTGCCACGGTTTGGCCATAACGAACACCATGTTCGAACATAAGGTGGCTCATAAGTGTACCTGGTACCAGAACACCTTAGGCCGGAGATCAATGATCGACTTTGTAATCGTATCATTTGATCTGCGGCCGTATGTCTTGGACACTCGGGTGAAGAGAGGAGCAGAGCTGTCAACTGATCACCACCTGGTGGTGAGTTGGATCAGATGGCAGGGGAACCGGTTGGAAAGACCTGGCAAACCCAAACGTGTAGTGAGGGTGAACTGGGAACGTCTGGCGGAGGACCCTGTCCGGGAAGTCTTTAACTCCCACCTCCGGAAGAACTTCTCACACATCCCGAGGGAGGTTGGGGACACGGAATCCGAGTGGACCATGTTCAAAGCCTCTATTGTGGACGCGGCCGCTAGGAGCTGTGGCCGGAAGGTCATCGGTGCCTGTCGTGGCGGCAACCCAAGAACCCGGTGGTGGACACCGGAGGTGAGGGAAGCCGTCAAGCTGAAGAAGGAGACCTTCAAGGCCTGGTTGGCACAGGGGTCTCCTGAAGCAGCTGACAGGTACCGGCAGGCCAGAAGGGCTGCAGCTGCGGTGGTCACGAATGCTAAAACTCGGGCATGGGAGGAGTTCGGGGAGGCCATGGAGAAGGACTTTCGGTTGGCCTCAAGGAGGTTCTGGCAAACCATCCGACGGCTCAGGAAGGGAAAGCAGGACTTACCCCAGGCTGTTCTCAGCAGGGGGGGGAACTGGTAACCCGGAGGGAGGACATCGTCGGGCGGTGGAAAGAGCACTTTGAGGAACTCCTAAACCTGACCAACATGTCCTCTGCAGAGGAGGCAGCGCCTGAGGACCTAGGGGGTGGCTCACCCATATCCCTGGCAGAGGTCGCTGAGGTAGTCAAAAAGCTCCTTGGTGGCAAGGCGCCGGGGGTGGATGAGATCCGCCCTGAGATGCTGAAGGCGCTGGACATAGTTGGGCTGTCCTGGCTGACACGCCTCTTCAATGTCGCATGGGGGTCGGGATCAGTGCCCATGGAATGGCAGACCGGGGTGGTGGTTCCTATCTTCAAAAAGGGGGACCGGAGAGTGTGCTCGAATTACCGGGGTATCACACTACTCAGCCTCCCGGGGAAGGCTTATGCCAGGGTGCTGGAAAGGAGGCTCCGACCGCTTGTCGAACCTCAGATTCAAGAGGAGCAGTGCGGATTCCGTCCCAGCCGTGGAACAGTGGACCAGCTCTTTACCCTCGCAAGACTACTGGAGGGGTTCTGGGAGTTTGCCCAACCAGTCTACATGTGCTTTGTGGACTTGGAGAAGGCTTTCGACCGGGTCCCTCGGGGGGTCTTGTGGGGGGTGCTGCGGGAGTATGGGGTGCCGGACCCGTTACAACGGGTGATCCGGTCTCTGTACGACTGCAGTAGGAGCTGTGTCCGCATTCTCGGCAATAAGTCAGACACGTTCCCGGTGGGTGTTGGCCTCCGCCAGGGCTGCCCTTTGTCACCGGTCCTGTTCGTGATTTTCACGGACAGGATATCTAGGCGCAGCCTGGGGGCGGAGAACGTCAGTCTCGGGGGTCTCGGGATCGCTTCTCTGCTATTTGCAGATGATGTGGTCCTGTTAGCCTCCTCGGATCGTGACCTCCAGCATTCACTGGGGCGGTTTGCAGCCGAGTGTGAAGCGGCGGGGATGAGAGTTAGCACCTCCAAACCTGAGGCCATGGTTCTCTGCCGGAAACCGGTGGATTGCTCCCTCCAGGTGGGGACGGAGTGCCTACCTCAAGCGAAGGAGTTCAAGTATCTCGGGGTCTTGTTCACGAGTGAGGGTAAGATGGAGCGGGAGATCGACAGACGGATCGGTGCAGCTGCAGCAGTAAAGCAGGCGCTGCACCGGACTGTCTTGGTGAAGAGGGAGCTGAGCCGGAAGGCAAAGCTCTCAATTTATCACTCGGTCTACGTTCCTACCCTCACCTATGGTCACGAACTCTGGGTCGTGACCGAAAGGACAAGGTCGCGGCTACAAGCGGCCGAAATGAGTTTCCTCCGTAGGGTGGCCGGGCTCAGCCTTAGAGATAGGGTAAGGAGCTCGGTCATCAGGAGGGAGCTTGGAGTAGAGTCGCTACTCCTTCGCGTCGGAAGGAGTCAGCTGAGGTGGTTCGGGCATCTAATTAGGATGCCTCCTGGACGCCTCCCACTGGAGGTTTTCCAGGCACGTCCAACTGGGAAGAGACCCCGGGGAAGACCCAGAACACGCTGGAGAGATTACATCTCCCAGCTGGCCTGGGAACGCCTCGGGATCCCCCAGAATGAGCTGGAACATGTTGCCGGTGAGAGGGAGGTCTGGGTCGGCCTGCTTGACCTGCTGCCACCGCGACCCGACCCCGGATAAGCGGTGGAAAATGGATGGATGGATGGATATATATATATAATATATATAAATATATATATATATATATTTATATATATATATACTATATATATAAATATATATATATATATTTTACATATATTTATAATTACTTACCTTGTGTTGCATACATACATAATGTATATGATATATTTACATATTATACACACAGTTTATAATCATATATATATATAAATGTATAAATGTGTGTGTGTGTGTGTGTGTGTGTGAGACAGGAGGAGTTCCGTGTGGATCACGGTGTTCAGCTGTTGAAGGTCATCGAGCGCGTGTTCGCTCGGAGGATGAACAGCCCTGAAGGATCATGGGAAGTGTACCTCAGCAAGCCGACACACCAACAGCACCAACTACTGATGAACGTGGTGTCTGAGCACGGTACACACACTCACACACACACTCTCACACACACACACACACACAGACACACACTCTCACACACACACACACACACAGAGACAGAGACAGACACACTCTCACACAC